TTTATATCTTAGACATATGCTTAGGGGTGTTCGATAGGTAGAACTCGGGCACTCATCACGGCCCATCGGTTTGGATCGTGGCAATACCGAACAATTTTGGTCGGTATATTTGAAAACAATTAATTAAGTTTTTTTTGGTAAATAATATGCAAGTATGATCAGGTCTTGGTCAAAGATTGACCAATTTCCGACCGACATCGGTTGGAATTTTCATATCTTTATTGTGGAACCACTATTTTCGTTGTGAGAAATATATTTTTTGACTTTTGTGACCAATTTACTCTTTTTCCGACCAATTTCGGTCGGTTTTGTTTCCGACCAATTTCGGTCGGTAATCTTTGGACGGGTTGTGCCCGTTTTCTAGTAGTGACTAATACCGAATGAATTGAACGAGTTACATAAACTTACCTTACTTTTACGCCTCTAAATTTTTGTCATAGGATTGTAGAAGCTTGTTAACATCCAGTCAATAGTATGAGTTGATTAAGGCGTGTTTATATTCTTTATATACTATATATCCAAGATTCTATGCTAATTTGACCAACAGAGACCATTGAGTAGAAGATCCCAACTTTTATACAATCTGCAAGTGATCTCCTATACTAACATCAAAACAGTCTTTTCCTATGCCTTTTTACCAAAGTAAGATCGTTCACAGAACCATTAAAGTTGTATGTTACAGTAACATGCAATTAGAATTGCAGTTGTGCTGTTACTAGTCTTAGTTATAGGGTTTATACTGCTGCATTCTTAAATATATACGAAATGTACAATTGCGAAGGATGTAAATGAATAGAATACAACTTGTTTCCATCCTTTCCGTTCTTCTTCAGCCTCCACTCTTCTTCAAATAAACCTGAAAATGTTCTCAGTAGACCTTAACCCCCTCTCCTTGATCTTAAAGATGAGGTTTTTCCTTATATGTCAAAGTGTACTTTTATCCGTATAAATTTGCACACTCACTATGTATTACATAAATTTCAGATTTTCTTATGATTTATTAATTGGATGCACAATGGGCTTGACCGTATTACAAAAGGGTTAACTGATAAACTCAGCTGACTCTATCTGTTGATTCCATTGAATTCCTCTCTATGAAAAAACCAGGCTGTTTTGGTTGAGGAAGAACCAGACCTTCATTTCCCAACCAGAAAACTACTGATGCCATTGTAGGCCTATCCTCTGGCAGTTTTTGGACGCACAACAAACCAACTTGAATGCATCTCAATAATTGAGATTCTGAAAATGATTCTTTCAAACATTCGTCCATCAGTTCCAACGCTTTGCCTTCATTCCAAAGTAACCATGCCTAAAGTAACAAACAGAACACATTTATACAAAGGCATTCACAATAGAAAGAGTGACTAACGAAACAACTTAGTTTTGTGCTGTATCTGCTTACATGTCCCAAAAGATTGTGATGATGTTCCAAATGACTAAATTTCCTGTTCCTTTTGCCACTAATTATTTCTAGAATGATTACGCCGATACTGAATACATCTGATTTTACTGAATATTTCCCATCAACAGCATATTCTGGGGACATATATCCACTGCATCAACTCATCAAATTTTAAGTTCATGTACTGATTGAATATAATAAAGATTGTATGATGAAGGTTTGTAGAACTTACTAAGTCCCTATTACTCTCTTAGTTTTTCCTTCCGTTTGGTCTCCGCCAAAACTTTTGGCAAGGCCGAAGTCAGAAATTTTAGCATTCAAGTCACTATCTAATAAAATGTTGCTGGTCTTGAGGTCTCTATGAATAATTCTAAATCTCGAGTCCTGGTGAAGATAAAGAAGACCTCGAGATATTCCCATAGCAATTTCGAAGCGGTTCTTCCATGGAAGTGAGGCATTTCTGCTTGGATCTGCACAATGTAGGCCTAATCATTGAGGGCTGCAGGAATGTTGAGGACTTATCAAATACTAGGAGTAGTATAGTTAAAGAATCATTACCAAAAATGAAATAGTCCAAACTAGTGTTTGGCATAAACTCATAGATTAGCATCCTTTCTTTTCCTTCAAGGCAGCAACCCAAAAGCTTGACAAGGTTCCTGTGTTGCAGCTTGGAAATGAGAACGATTTCATTTCTTAACTCTTGAACGCCTTGTCCAGAATACTTTGATAGCCTCTTTACTGCTATCTCTTGTCCATTTGGTAGGATACCCTACAATGTTTTTTAGCAAAAGTCAAATGTGCCACTTCTAACTAGAGGTTGAAGATCAAAGTTGATTTACCTTGTAAACTGGTCCAAAGCCACCCTCACCAATCACATTAGCAGAGGAGAAGTTTTTAGTGGCACTAGCAACAGTAACTAAATCAAACAATGGCAACTCGGGGTCTTCGTTTCCAACTTCTGCACCTGTCAGTATATATTTGTCGGTCACGAGCATGATATTAATGAGCTCTTCCATACAACAGATTATAAAAAAAGAAAAAGCAACCCAATCTTTTGGTAAAGGTGAAGAATATTAGCTAGATGGAGATTTTCTAATAAAGAATATTAGACAAAGGTACCTCTAGTATATTTTTCTGTTCTTCTGTTCTTTCTTTGGAAGGAAAACCAAGCTACAAAGCTGAGGATAAAAGCTGCTACCACTGCTGAAATGATCGCAATCAGGGCTGACCTCTTTCTCCTCCGATTCCCGTCTGAGTCTATTCAAGAAATAGTCCATAAGCAGTCTTCAATTGAAATATGAATTGGCCATTTCAGTATGAATTGTTTCAGTGATTTGTTTTTATTTTGTTATTGAACCTCTTCCCCTAAGCTAGTAATGCTTTCGGGTACTGGACTTTCCTCATCTACATTCGCGCTGCTTCTCCTGGCTGCATGGTGCTTCTACAAAGAGAGTTGAAGCACCTTCAGATTTTCAGTGTGCAGTACTTACTGAAAAAGTAGCCAATTTCAAGCTGTACTGGTAGTTAGAACATCTTTTCTGTTAGATGACCAAAGTACAGCGGACTATCTCAGGTAGTATCTAATATTACTCTGAAGCTAATATGTTTTGTGCAGCAAAAGTTTCAAGAGGTCAAGTTAGAGGCGACTCCAATATTTATAGTGATCGATTGGGCCAGATTTGGTGTGAATCGTCTCTCTCTCACACACACACTATCTCTTTGGCCAGAGCTGAAAAGTGTACAACCACCTAAGTTGCTCGGACTCGGGTGGGATTGTCTAATACGGGTGCGGATGTTTAAGGATACGGTTGCGAGGATTCTGCTAAAAATAATTCAAATATCTAAAAATAGAGTTATAAAAATATTTCTAAATTATGAGACATTACGTGAAAAACTTGCAAGGTATTCTAAGAAGGAGAAAAATATTGATCAAGAGAAGAATGCGATAAGAGGAAAATGAGTGACATAGAAATGTCTATATACAAGGTATTCAATTTTCTTTAAAATTTCACTTATCTTTTATTTTTATTTCAAATCTGTCCCCAATTTCACACTCGATTTTGGTCAAAGTACCCAAAATCGGTTTATCAGACCCGGTATAGATTCACACTCACACCCACGTTGTGTGGACATAGGTACCAAACTATAAGTGAAGTGTTCGAGCGACTTAGACAACCACACTCTGACACATGGGCACCAAACCGTAAGTGAAGAGTCCGAGACTTAGACAACCACACTCTGACACATGGGCACCAAACCGTAAGTGAAGAGTCCGAGACTTAGATGACACATGGGCACCAAACCGTAAGTGAAGAGTCCGAGACTTAGACAACCACACTCTGACACATGGGCACCAAACCGTAAGTGAAGAGTCCGAGACTTAGACAACCACACCCTCTGTTGACATCCTATATCTTCCTTGACGTCTAGCATATCTTAAGCCTTTACAAGGGAGAAAACTTCTCCTTTAGCAATCCTTTTAATTTATCAGTGTGCTAATTGTAGTGCCATACAAGAAGAGCGTAAGGGTCGCTGTCACACTATTTGTAGGACAAGACATTTATCAGCTCCTGCTTGTATGGCACCTCAAAGGGGGGGAAATGCAGACAAGACACTTGATGGATGATAAAACCTTAGACAATTTTTCTTATGTTTCAGTAAGTTAGCAACACCACCCGGTCGACTCAGCGGCAGATCTAAGATTTTGAGTTCATGGGTGCTTAATTTTTTTTGACGTAACGTTACTATGTATTATTATATTGTATAAGTACACAACTAGTTGAACACACATGTGAAAAAAGTTAAGAAGAAAACTCATATTTTAATATTATGGACACAGTAAATCTGTGATGAATATGCAATTGGCCAAATAAAAAGAAGATCGGTGGATTTTACCTTTCTGGAGGAACTGTTTATCTTTAAAAGGGATTGAACTTTGGGATTTCTTTTAAGATGATTTTTTTCTTTGCTATAGAGAATTAGGTAAATTAAAAGAAAAACATAAAGCTAAAAACAAAGGTTAGCAAAAAAGAAATTTAAAAAAAGTAGTATTGGGTTAAGAAAGTGTGCTTGAAAAGTAAAAAAGAACTAATTGAGAAAAATATTTAAAAAATAAATAAAAAGAAGAAGAAAGAAAGTAGCCTTGAATATAAGGAAAGGAAATTGTTTGCTTGGTTAAAAAAAATACTGTGGTGAGATGGAGTTTCGAACACCCGCCCCAAGCAAGATTTAATCTTCCAGCACCCTTTCCTAACCGCAGCACCCATCACAGTTTATTTTACCCAGGTGCTTTTTGACCTTTATATATATTTTCTTAAGTTTTTTATGGAGTTATACCTACATTAAGTTAAGGTTAATGGGTGCTTAAGCACCCAAATTTTACATGTAGATCCGTCCATGAGGGTCGTCATAGTTGGTTAAAAGTATTTTTATCATTTACGAATCAATTAACATATTACCAACTATTACAGCACCTAATCAACTTTAAATCAAGTAAGTACATAAGATAGTAGAGTTCCTTCAATTCTAAAGAGTTGTGAATCTATATTGTATAATAAAATGAGAAAATGGTACAGGGTAGGGTCATTACCTAATTCTGAAGCAGCGACTCTCACGAACAGGTCTTGCTCATTGTGGCTCAACTCTCTAATATCAATGAGTTCTCCAAACCATAGTAAGCATCCACTTCCACCATTTATAACATCAAGATTTGAGTAGGCTGTGCAATTGCAATCAGTCAAGCACATTTTTTTGCATTCTTCAAGGTTCATGCTCTGATTATACCACGAGTGTCTAGAATCCGGCATTTTAATACCCGTCATTTTAAGAAAATCATCTTGGTTACAAACCAAAGAAGTTCTCCTTACACAACCACTAGATCAGTCCGCTGCATACCATTGATTCGGATACCTGTGAAGACATAATTATGTAATCAAAATAAACTTCCACTTGCTTGACCTGGGGATAAGAATTTAGCCATGGGGCGAGGGAGCTTGTGAAGACATAATTAAATAACTAAAAATGTGCCCTCCCTAATAACTTAAGAAGAAACAGTCACACAATTAAACAAATACCTAGGCTCGAAACCTCTCAGACAGTCACATGGAGGTGAGTTATTGATGTTGCAGCTTGCATAACGTCCACATAAAGCAAAACGATCACAGTTACCAAATTGTGTTGTCAAGTAGAGAAACCAGCTCTGACTGTGCTCTATCCATGTTAGGTGCTCTACAACCCCATCTGTGTCGATCACCACCCTGGTGGGCAGGGACGCATTCATAATCCTTGTGTTGATATTGTCTTCTCTATTTGCTTTGTGTGTGATTGTGTGCCAGTTAACCCTCCATCTTCCGCAATAATTGGTATCAGAGCAAGGGTTTGAGTTTCGGCATATAATCTAGGGTTAAAATATCTTCATCATATTCAACAAAGTACGAAATAGAGAAATTTGATAGGGGTTTTAGTTTCAGTCTATGAAAGATTAGGATGAAATCATCCCTGTGTTACAAGGATTATGGAAGGCAATTGATGAGGATTTTCTTGAAGAGATGAAAGAGACAGAGAAGGCAGACCTAAAAGAGAGGGCTTTGAGTACCATCTTCATGAGCGTTACAAATAACGTTCTTCGAAAAATTGCTGAAGAAACTTCTGCATCAATGGCATGGAAGAAGCTGGAAGATCTGTAGTCTAAGAAATCGCTGAATAACTGTCTCTACCTGAAAAAGAGGTTATACTATCTCCGTATGAACGCGAAGGTACACCTGATAAAACTCACCTTGATGAATTTAATTCAATTACAATGGACCTGAAGAATGTGAATATCAAAATTGAGAGTGAGGATCAAGCCTTGATTGTGTTATGTTCTTTATTACCGTCTTATGATACTTTTGCCGATATACTGCTATATGGGAAAGATAGTATTTCACTGAAAGATGTTAGTAATGCACTAAAGTCTAAAGAGTTGAAAAGGAGCTTTTCAGACAGCAGATTTGAGGCGAGGGTCTTGTGTGTAGAGGAAGAACACAACAAAAAGACTTTAACAGGAAAAAGCCGACCGCCAGATCGAAGTCTAGAGCAATGAAGCAAAACTGTTATGAGTACGAAGAGCAAGGTCACTACAAGATAGATTATCCTAAGCTGAAAGAGAAAAGAGGGAAGCAGAAAATAGATAATTCTGCAAATATTGTTGACACTAGCAATAATTCTGATTATAGTGACTATGTAGAGGAAGTCTGTGCTATGATTTCTAGTCACGAGCAGAATTTCTGGGTTCTTGATTCTAGTGCTAATTTCCACATCTGTCCACACAAGAATTGATTTACAACTTACAAGCAGACGAGTGAGACTGTCTACATGGAAGATGATAATCTATTACCAGTAGAGGGGATTGGTAACATCAAATTGAGAATGTTCGATGGAATTATCAAAAACATTGAGTGTTAGCATATTCCTCGGATAAAGAGAAATTTGATTTCCCTTTCGATTTTGGATGATCAAGGGTATCATTTTCATTCCGAGAATGGAATACTTAAAGTGTGTAAAGGCTTCATGGTACTCATAAAGGGTAAACTGCATTCTTAATTATATCATCTTCAGGGCAGTGTAGTTGAAGGTGAAGCTGTTGTAGCTCCTGAAAAAAGTGATCTAAATCAATCTCAGTTGTGGCACTTGCGACTTGGTTATATGAGTGACAAGAGATTGTCTTTGTTGAGCAAGTAGAATTTGCTGGATGTATACAAAAAGTAAGTTTTGAATTTTTGTGAGCATTGTGTGTTTGGTAAACAGACAAGAGTAAAATTCAGTAAGAGGGTAGAGCACAAGACCATAGACAAGTTAGATTATATGTACATTCAGACTTGTGGGGTCCAAACAGAGTTCCCTCCAAGAGTGGTGCCGGGTATTTTATGACTTTGATTGATGATTACTCAAGGATGGTGTGAGTATATTTTCTGAAAATAAAAGATGAGGCTTTTTCGACATTTGTTAAATGGAAGACAATGGTTGAGAGGCAGACGGAAAGAAAAGTTAATCATCTTCGGACTAACAATGGGTTGGAATTTTTCAATCTTGAGTTTAATAATTTCTACAGCATAGAGGGCATAGTAAGACACTGTACTTATGTCAGAACACCATAACAGAATGGTGTTGCAGAATGTATGAACAAAATGCTTTATGATAGGGCACGAAGAATGCTTTCACACTCTTGTGTTAGCAAAGATTTTTGGGTTGAAGCAATCAATACAACTTGTTATTTGGTCAACAAATCTCCATCCATAACTATTTAGTTCAAAACTCCTTTTGAGGTTTGGTCTGGTTCGCCAGCTGATCATTCAAATTTAAGGATATTTGGTCGTCTCGCTTATGTTCATGTGAGGGGTGAAAAACTTGAGTCGCGGGTAAAGAAGTACATATTTTTAGGGTATGCAATTGGAGTGAAAGGTTATAGGTTGTGGTGCACAGATCAAAAGACTCTATGGCTAATTATCAGTAAGAATATAACATTCAATAAATCTGCCTCAATGGACAGTCAGAGGGAGACGACAATAGTAGAAACAAATCGTGGTGTCAGTGACCGCATAGAGCTAAAAATTGAAACCTCACTAGCTCGGCACGGTAGTTCTAAAGTAGAGGAAGTGGAGGAGGTTTAAAATATTGATCAAGATGATAATATTGATGCACCTGCCCAACAATAACCATATAGCATTGCAACAGGCAGAGAGAAGAGAGTGATTAACCGACCACAAAGTTTACAAACGTAGTTGATGGGAATTTTCTTGGATATACGAATCCTATGAGATTTGCTTTGGCAGTTGCAGAGATTGTTGATAATTTTGAGTGTTATAGCTATTCAGAAGCTATTTTTAGTGTAGAACCAAATTGACGGATTAGTGTTATGGCTGAAGAAATTGAGTCTCTTAACAAGTTTAGATGTTGCCTAGACATGGTTGATGTGTGCGGCAATGGGTAGAGCCCTTGCGAGGGCTGAGGGCAAGGTAGAGAAGCGTGTTCCTATTGATGAAGAAAATTCAAGCCAAAAAGAAGATTTGTTATTTGTGGCTTGAATTACTTCCTTGTATTTTTAGGAAACCTATAATCCCTATAGGTTTGGCAAAACTCATTATTCCGTTCCTTGTCAAATTAGGAAACCTTTCTCTTATAGGTTTGAGACTATTTGGGATCTATATATATGGGTGGCAGTTGGGGATTCTATAGATTGTATTGTGCTTTTCTTCTCATCATAGTGGAAAACTCTCTGCTTTTGTCCCCGACGATTAGGCTTTGCCGATCCTTGTTAAATCCTTATGTTAATTTTTTTTTCTATATTTGCTTTGTGTGTGATTGTGTGCTAGTTAACCTATGATTACGTAACAAACCCAGACGACAGTTCCAGTTGCTTTATTCTTGTACCATATGCCAACATAGCGATTATTGGAATTTCCGGGGCTGAAAAATCCAAGTTCATAAAAATCGCCAGCTGAAACAATTGTGTCACCATCTCTAATGGGTTTATCTGTAGTGATCGTGTCTAATGCTGCGGAAGTTAGTAAGACCAAGAGAAAATGGGATCAAATGAATGAATAACTGAAATGTGAATTGGAGTTATTGGAAGCATCTTATCGAAATGGCTCATTTTATTTGTTTCCGAGAATTCTTAGTGAAGGTTTATCACGGCTTCTACATTTTATTGGCAACAACCTAAAATTTTCTCCTGTGAATTCTTTTTAACTTTTTTACGAGCCAATCACTTCAGTTTACTGATCAATTGAACAATATCTTTTCCCAATTGAGTAATTCGTTCAACTTAACTGTTGGAGGCATGAAGGCGGCTAAGAGCTAGGATGTGAAAGTCTCAACTGTTCAAAGTTGTACACCTTTGACTCTCCAGTTCCCCAGTTGCAGATAAAAAAATATTTACAAACTTTGTGTTTATTAAAGCAATAAATGCACGATGTAAATACTTAATGGTGATTAAATTAATTGATATTGTCACCTCATTTTAATATGTCTGTTAAGATTTAGACATACCTACTAAGAGAACTATTCAATTAATTGCATTACCCATAAGTACTATGACCTCTATTCTCCTTTAGTAATCCACAACGAACCTTGTAGTTACTTGAGAATACTATAAATGAAGTACGTATTTTATCACAATACCCACAATAATAATACTCTTTTTGTTTCAATTTAGATAACGCATTTTACTTATCGAGAGTCAAACTGTGTGAAGGTTGACCAATATTTTAAAATATATTGTTATCGTATTGACATGAGAAAAATTACAACTTTTACTACTTTTCGTGTAGTTTTTGAATATCCAAATTTTAATTTTAAAATACTAAGGTGAACTAATTTAATTTAGCTTCAAAGTTTAGTCAAATTGACTCTCGATAAGTGAAATATATCATCTAAATTGAAACGGAGAGAGTAATAAATAGTCTCAATAATACGAGGAAATGATTTGAAATGAGTAGTTAATAATAAGAGTAAAAGAGAAAGTAATATTTTTCCTCTATATTTGCTAAAGTGAAAAAAAATAATTGTTGGCAGATACTTGTCATTTTAGACACAAGAGAGAATTAATTATTCTCTTTTCAAATTAACCCTTTAGCATCAATTGTTCCAGAATTAAGAAGCACGTAAATAGACAAAGATTAAAGAATTAATAAGGAGACTAGACTAGTCAAATT